AACAGGCTCAGTCCGTCATCAAAACATTTTTTCTGTTATTAACAACTTTGATATTTTATTTGTTGAGCTAAAGAACGTTTCTAAGAGGTGTTACAATGCATCTAACTGTTGTTGTTCAATAATATATTATTAAATCAGTTTAAAGATAATTCGCCTTCATTCTTTATTTTTTTCTTCTTTTCGCAGTCCCCATTTTAGAGGTATACGGTTTTAGCGTCTTTGTTAAAAGAGAATTTAAGCAGGTTTTATTGACTTATTGGAATAAAAGAAATTTCTAACACCACGACCACTTAACGTCATTTCAAAGGTATTTACCTAACTACTAAGTCATTTTCAAACGATAAACTGGGTCCTGAAGTTAAGCTGTTGATTCTTTCAGTCACAGCAGTTATTTATCTTGGGCTAACAGCGAACTTAGTTGAACTTGGCTAAATGTTACGTAAATATGAATAGATTCTATAAAACTATATCGGTTTTTTAAAGACTTTCTTAGAGTTCTTTAACAATGTAACCCTTATAAACGAGGTCAATTTGAAAGTAAACATTTTTCGAGCTTTCTCCTTAAGATTAAGAGGCTTTGTCAACAATTCAGTTAAAAGAACTTGCAAGTCTTTCATAAAAACGTCATTCTTCAAACAATCTTGACGAATGGGTCATTGTGTAACAACATTATTTATTTACAACAGGTCCATTATCTCAACTGGTTTGAGACTTAATTGCAACACGCTAACATGACGGGTTTTTTTCATTCACAATCATTTTCAAGTAGACTCGGCTAAATTGTATTCTTTAATATTTATTTCTTTTGAAAAAACATTAGAAATGACATGACTGATGAGTAGCTGACCTCTTTTTCTTTGCTTTCGTTTTTATTCCCCTGAATTAAAATCAGTCTAGATGGAAAAGAACTTGTGGGCGAACATGATACTCAGTCTAAATATAGAAGTAAATTTTCATTCTTATATTGGCCCGCTAGCCTATGCTTTTAAGCAATACACGTTTAGTCATTCTTCGCATTTTGAAGCTGACTTTCAAACCTAGTACAATGAAGGTGGGAAAGGTTTGGTTTTTCTTAGTTGTCGCTGTTTCAGTCGCTACAGTTGTATCCTCAAGACAAGTCGACTCAGGAACCGGTATGAGTAATTATATTTGAGTTACACACTTTTAAACAAAGTAAAACAACTAAGTAGAACTCCGGACAATTCAAGCATTTGTTACGCCACAATCAATTCCATTGGTTACTAATCTCTACGAACTAGTT